GCGTCTCATCCAAACGCCGAGCTTATCACCTCGTCAATGTACAACGTTACCACTATAATATGTGATGTTCGTAGTCTGGTGTCGCGAAAGTGCATCTGCCGCCATATCAAGTTGACTTTATATTTTTAACTCTAAGGCATGATAAAAAATAAAGGACAGACTTTGTGTAATTTCTTGCGAGCATTGTAGTGACGATTCCGCTGTGCATACTGATTCTTGATCAGTATAGATTACAAACGCCTTCGAGCCAATCCAATGTGCCTTGAACTTAACAAGAGCATACTTAGCCTTTCGGGTTTTAGCATGTACTATATAATTATTGCTGCAGGCCTAAGCTGACAAGATTTAATCTCAATGATGCGTTCGTGCCCAATGGCATTATTTCAGAAAAAACATTCTATGGCAAGGCTGGAGCTTCATAGACAAGATAAATTATCAATCTTGATTCTTTAAAACCAAGTATGAGCACGCTAGAGGGTTTTTCCTACAGCCCTGAAGGCCGCATCTTCGACGGCGTCCTAGCACTTTCGACATCTTGTTAAGGGAATTGTTGAGGGCTGTGCCGTGCAGCCTTTTTTGCATGTTATATACCAGACCAAGCCACGCTCTCAAATCATTCGATGAAGTAGTCCTGGTCAATCTACAATGGCTTGTACCTTTGGAGTATCTGCTTAGTCTTTCAAACATGACTCAAAATTATCGGCGCCAAGCACATATTTTTTCTGTCGGCAAACTGCTATTTTAGCGCATACGTTCGAGCACAAGTTGCAAGTATCTGATCTGGACTTCCATATGTGCAGATTTCCTGTGTCTGTGCAACTATAGTCAACAATATCGAGAGATTAGAAATACGAAGCGGCCTAAACAGCTGCGTTGCCAAATGGTTGAACGCGTTCAATACATCACACAACAAAATTGAGCTGACCTTCCTTTTTTCTAGAAATTGTTGTTTCCGAAAATAATGTTGATGCAATTAGCTCTTTTCAAGTTTGCATAATACGCCACATGCCGTATAGTCTTCCGAATGCAGAACATTTTGGAATTTAATCTCACTTCAAATTTGCTCTATACTTTACACGAAAGAGGAATTCATAGTGTCATGCTGTTTTCTTCGTGAGGCTCATAGACGTGTGAGGCAATATTGGCTCAAGAGTTACGTCAAGCTTATGATGCGTACTCCAATTTATTTATTCTTTGCGAATTATTGTCATAATTTTACAACAAAAGATGTATAGATCTGTATTATCTTTGAAGATAGCCATTCCGACTCTCTCTCCATGAATCTCAGTGAAAGACTCATATATGACGGATGATGAGCTCAACTCCTTTTTTGGTTCTTACCGCACCAAAATGGTGATTTCATCGTCGTCCAAAGCTCTTCGCGTACACATTCTAAGGATGGCTCTTCACGCTCAATGGTGGCTTCTATTTTGGATAATGTTGGTTGCTTGCATTACCCAGTACTGCCCCGGCTTCTTCGCTTATAAGTTAACAAACTTATCCGCAACATACCTGTGGAGAATCATTGTCCCGATTGGTGGGCGTGATACACGGTTTGCTCACTAAGCAGTACCGCTACATTGTGACAATGATGAACCATTCTCAATAAAGTCAGTGCCTGTCCTTTATACTTGCACCTTGAAGACGCTTTTCTCAATCGGATGTGCCCTGAAGAACATAACATTACGCATCTCTGAATCACATGGAATTTAACCTTGGAAATCGCGACACCAAATCGCAGTCTCCCGCCCCACAGAATATATCAGCTAATAGCTGCAATTATTCTTTTTTTCGGAGACACGGTCAAGAAACTACGGCTTACTGATACATCTACCCTTCAAACTTTTTTAGCCTTCTAGCATCATTGCTGCCAACTATTTTGGGCAATTTCACATTTTGCGTTGAAGCTATGACGGCTTTTTGTCTGCGCCTAAATTGCTCTTAGTATACAGCAGATGTAAAGTCGTGACTCATCAAAGCTCCAACAGGAAAATCGTGCGTGGCACTCTGTGTTTCTGGTTTCTAGGTAATTCACGGCCCAAAGTGCTCAATCCAGACCTACCGAGGATGAGATTGCTTTTCAAATCTAGATTAAGTGTTCGCGCTGTCATAGTCTCAAACATCTACAGAATGCTCAAAACAACCTTTGAAAATAACAACTAGTGACCCAGCTACAAAACGCATGAATATAGCATCTATTATAGCATTTGCGATGCCTTCGAATTCTGTTGACCATTTTGACGGCCACATGTCGCATTAATCCTGCGACACTTCTGAATTTATCAGAACTTTTGACGGCTTCAAAACTCCCGAGATTGGTATTGACTGCCAATCATCCTGGACTGGTCGATACGCCTCTCACGAAAAGAATCGCCCCCAGACGTGCTAGGTGCGCTGATTTCAACCTCCATGGGTCTCAACGAACTTCCTCCGTCAACGCTTAATGAAGTTCTTCGTTCCCTGCGGGATAGTCAGTTGATCCTGCGTAGAAGTCTGAACCTTCGACCCTCTCAACTTGGAAAAAAGAAGGAGCACGGGGTGCAGTGATAGCTAATGCCACAAACGTAGCACCAGTAGACACCATAACGCTATTTGGCAACCAAAGAACAACCATTCTATACTCAGCATGGCTGAGATCCATCACCTCTGGCGCGCTTATAGAGCGCATCAGAATCGACCAGGTGATGTTCCAAATTCAATGCAACACCCACCGACTCCTCAAAAGAGGTTGTATAAGCGCAGAAGGTCTCGGCGGAACCCGCACCTGTACAAAACGCCGTCATCTATATATAGGCCATTTTCATTTTCGTAAGAGGCTTCACCGCAGTCCCGAATATTCGATTTCTTAACTCCTGGGTAGTCCGCTTATCCTCTCCCTTCCATACCAATTTTGATTGCATAAGGTAAAGCCTGATAAAGCGGCAGGAACATTAGTAATTTTCCATTGCGCTCGGGAAATTCCCATGATGAAAGTTCTCGTCCATCGAGAGTACCGCGTATACTTGCAAGCGGCCTCCTGGTTCAAAGTTCGCTGGCGCAACCCGTTGTGCTCAGTTTGAAGCTATTTATCCAAGTGAGGATATTTCCCCTCTTTGCTATCGAACGGCTGGACGCTTGGCAAAAGTGCCCTCGCTGTGCAATTCGGCCATTCTTCCATGACGCCTAATGAGGCATTCCTGAAGACGCCTCACCAGCAAATTATAGTAGTTAATGATTGTTTTTGGACGGTCTAAAACCGCTTCTAGTCCTTAGACCGCTTATTGTACAATATCTTCGCGACTGACTGAACACAGAAGCTTGTTAAGCCTGTCCTATTGTCTCAAGGACATCTCAGAGAACATATCAACTTTCATCCCACAACGAATGCAGTCTTTTGTAAACACGGTCGTCGGATCGATGACTAACAAATCGATCAAATGAGGCTGTTGTGCACCTCGTACAGCAGAAATTTGATTCTTAAAGTTCACGCTAACTGACGCATGGAAGATTAGTTCACTGACCACAAACCAGGTGCCAGACCAGGTCTGTGTACTTCGTTTGCTCTAAAATAAGAGAGTTATATCAATGATTAAGACTAGATTGGCACGGCTCAAAGTATATCTGTTTGCTGTCGAGCACGCCATATTTCAATATCATACATAGCGTCTCCTTTTCGGTGCGTACCGAAAATTGATTATGGTGTTTCTAAGCTTCGTTCTAAGTTTGAGGGATAATCGTGTTATGTGTATGTTGGTTCCGTACCCATTAAATTTCGGTGAGTTTTCATTATGCTTTATCATGACTCTCATTTAGGTGTATATATTTTACTAATTAAGAGCTAGGTTCGCTGGTTATTAGGCTGGAAGAAAACAAATAAATTTCCAGTTTCAAACGCTTTTGCCGCCGACTTTCTAAATTGCGAATTATGGCAGCCACATATGTCCAAAAAAAAGCACCGAATCATTGCACAAAAGATTTGATGGCCCTTCTGGCGTCTGTGCTTAAATTAATATTCGCTCTAACAGATCTTACATAATTTAATCCTTTACCCAAATCTAGAAAAAGATTGCTTTACAAGAATGCGTTGTGAGTAGCTGTTTGCAGTTGTTGTGGTACAAATTTAGATAAAATTATAATCACAGTGGCGTGATCTCCATCTTGCGGACGGATACATCGACTATAACGGTCCATCCTTCGATTTGCGTGAAACTACACGGCCCTTCCCGATGCCAAAACTCGTGTGTGAATTTACAAACCGTATGTTGAAAAGGGGTCTTGTCTTTTAAAGCTTATTGGAAGAAATTGTACTAAAGTGCAATAAATAAAACTATCTCAGATAAGTTATATGTGCATTCTTAATCGGAGGTTCTGCAGCTTTTTATTAGAACCAGTTAGGGAATGGTTATATAAAATAGTAGTATCTTATATAGAAAATGTGTAATGCATTTCTCGTGGCAAATATTTGACAAATAATCTCGCTTTCGCCAGCATTTTGATTGACCAACAACAAATTCATATTTCTATATTTGCAACACCAATTCTTCTATAATTTATCGTGCAATGGGAAATCTTACGGGTACAAGGAAACTGTATGGTGTATGCTGATATTAGATATGTCTATGCTGCATTCTGTGTGATGTGAAAGTACATTCACACATCACAACACGAATCATAAAAGATTAGGTAACGTGGGTACAAAATCTGCGCTTTTGCCACATTACGTATGCTTGAGAAATATTCACTTATCGTCGTCATTTTTATACTCGGCTCATCTACATCTCACCGGCTTCCACCCGATCCTGTGTCTTGTGATAAAAACTAGTGTTTATTGAAGCAAAGAAAGTTTCGAGAGACCTGTAAACAAGAGTATAGTTAAACTAAGTGACTTCTCCCTAGGCACAACATGCGCATTAAAAGCTTCTTTTTCAATTTTTGGTCATCATTTGCAAACGTGTGCAGTCATCCACAGGCCGTCGATCTTCTCATAGTGAAGTGCTTACTAAGTCTCAAGTTTGCCAGCTATGCGAACAAAGCAATTAGTCGAATTTCAGAAGCAAGATCGTTCGTATGAGTATGTCCTACATCAGCAGTCACTGCCAGTGTCTACAAAGAAATTGATCTCACTTCCACCGCTCATCAAGACTACGCTCCAACCGACGACTGATGCATTAGCTGAGAAATCCGCAATTTTCACACATATGATGTTGGAGTCTCCACCACCTGTAGTTGTCTCTACATTGATGTTTTCATATCAAGACAAGTCCACCAACCAATTGGTCCGACCTCTTCCCCATTTAAATGACGTGAGTCCTACCAAATTGATGTCACTGCATCATAATAACCAAAAGCGCACGTGTTTTCCAAAGAAATGTGACTTTCCAATGTGTAAGAACAGCTCGCGCAGTCGTGGCTTCTGTTACAGTCACGGTGGAGGTAGGCGCTGCCGAGTGAATGGCTGTAATAATGGCGCCGTCAGTCGTGATCTATGCAAGCGCCACGGAGGTGGTCGTCGCTGCCGCATTGCAGGATGTACAAGTAGCTCTGAGAGCGGTGGTCTGTGCTACAGCCATGGTGGAGGGCGCCGCTGTAATCTCTCGTGGTGTTCAGCGCGTGCGAAGAAGGGTGGCTATTGTGCCGTACATCTCACGGGTGACCGGACGCCACCAGCTGATACTTTTTCAACTTCAACTTCAGATAGTTCGTCATCGACCGATGTAAATATTGTCGAGACTCTCTTGTTACTGGCCAATGACCAGAAAAATGTTACGCAGTTATTGTCAATGTCGAAAGAAGCATCAGTCTCGTCATTCAACACTATCAAGCGCGCCTATGATATCGCGTCACTACTTAATTAAAGGAAGCAATTTCGCGACCTCTGTCTAATTTATGGTGTGTATAAAGTAAGCGTTTGAAAGACAGCATATTTCTATGTCCAAACACTATCTCTATGATGTTGCTTCGTTCGCTGTAGCTTCTAGACAACGTGTCCAGCTTGTTTCGCCAGTTATTTTATTGTAAAAGTAGACATTGCCTGACTCTTCAGCCACTTCCTCCCATACATCCTCACTTTCATTCGCTTTCATGGGCGCTTGATCAAACAACAAATCAAGTACTACATCGTTCACTTGCATCTCCAACGGAGGGCCATCGGCAGCTTTAACAACCTGCTGAGTCATGCGGTTGTAGTAACATACTTCACCAGATTCAGCATGATAGACTTCACTCCAGCATGAAGACGCTACTGTAAATTTTTGTGGTTTTCGACCTTCTCGCTTAGCTACAACGTTCAAATTATGCCACTTCGTAGCCTCATGTGTGTATAGTTCGCCTTCTGTAGCATAGCTCAAACCTGGACACATCTGACAGCAGAAAGCTAATCGCGGGGGTGCAGGATAGTGCACCAATATGGTGTTGTTCGTGTCCGATTCGTCTTCACTACTCGCTGCCTCGGGTGCAAGTTGCACAGTCTCTACTTCTCCTGCTCGCTGAGGCGGTACAATCACTACAACATCTTCTAGTAAATCAAGCAAGGTACGCAGCTTCTTGACTTTAAAAGTGGTGGGCGTTAGCGTCTTGTGCATCGATTTTTCGTACGCTGAAAAAAACTCGCTCAGCGGTACTTTACCGCCCTTATAACGGCTCACGACTTTGTGAGTCTCGAGCTTGAGTAGTTGAAATTCCTGAGCCAGGAACGAGTCTGATAAAATCGTTGCCAACGCACCCACTTTAGCCGCTTGAGCATCATTTGATGTACTCTCCTGCTTACTACGATCTCCATCGACTGCAATAGCCACAGTCGAGCCACAATCCAAGCATGAACGTGTAATATTTTGTTTTTTCATGGGTTTACTCTCGGCACAATCTAGTGCGTCCAAATCATCCAGCACCTTGCGTAACTTCGCATGAGTTTCTTGCAATTTCATCATTTTCTCCTGTGCTACTTGATACCTGGCACGAGCATCTTCATCAGCTTTTGCAGCCTGCTGCTCAAGATCTCGTGCGGTCGCCAATTCTTGACGCAAACGAAGAAGAATTAATTGCTGGGATATCACCCGCTGCACAATAGGAGCAATTTCAGCTGCCCGAGATGCGTAATTAAATGCAGCACGCACCCAGACGCATATGGCTACAAGAGCCGGTGATATGCTGTATAGTTGAAAGTTGGTAGAACGAAGACGTGGGTGGTGGATCACTTGAGTCAGAGAAAGCAGACGAGCTCGTCGAATTCCTTCAGCGAAAGAGTAAGCATCAAAGAGTGGCAAGATATACAGAGCCTTGACCGCATATTTGTGAATCAAGCCTTCTCGATCGCCTAGCATGACATTCTCAGTATTGCTAGACAACAAACATAGTACGTCTTGACGCGACGGAAATTCTGCTAGTTCCGGCGGCGTCATAGTTGCTGTACCACCTGATTGACGTTTATGTTTTTCATACTCAATCAACTTCTTACGTCTCTCCTTTTCCTCGAGCTCTAATTGAATATTCGAAGTGAAATTAAGTAACACGCAAAATGCTTTCAAGAGTGACTTCAAAGTGTCGTCCAGCTTTGCTGTTCGAAGGTGATACCAGTCTGACAGTTTCAATTCGCGTAGGCCATCGACGGCTTCTCGATATTTGCGCTCAACTTGCTGTCGATCTTGCTTCCAAAATTGCTCAACTTTGAGCTGCAAAGAATCTTCCTGGGCCTCGGCTTCGCTTAATTCTAAGGCCAAAGTCACGCCACGTGATTTCTCTTCTCGCCATATGCGAGAACATAACTCTTGATCATTGCGTGATTTCTCCAACGCAAAGGTCTGCTCCTCAATCATTTTGGCGGCTGCTGCATGCTCATCAGACGTTTTTTCGAGCACTTCAGCACCAACGACAACATTTTGAGTCTTTGCGAGCAAATGGACGATAGTCTTGACAAAAGCATCTTCTTGATCAACACCTTCAGGCAGTGTTGGCAACTGGCGAGCAACCATAACAGCATACGGCGTTCGAAACTTATCCATTACCAAATTGAGCACCACTTCATCCGTTTGAATGTTACGTTGCGTAACACCAAAGTACTCCACGAATGTAGCGGTTGAAACTTTCGAGCTTGGTTTGCTCAACCATGCTTTGTGTTCACCTGCTTCCCACCTTCCTGGTCGTTTCAGTACATTACTTTTCTCACACAAATTGAGATCACCGTCAGCACGTCCAGCGATAAAGACTCCTTCGCCATGCATTTCATCATTTAGGAAAGGACCTTCGTACCTATCACCATTCGGATAAACGAGAATGCCATTTCCATTCCGTCGTGTATGCTGCATTGCACCAGTATAATGACGACCGTCAGCAAAGTCTACAGTTCCATATCCGTCAAGAAAGCCGTCACAGAATATGCCCGAGATCCGATCGCCATTCGCGAGAAGACGAGTGCCTTGCCCATGCCAGCGACCACGACGAAAGAAACCATCGTAGCGAGATTTGTCAGATAACAATATTTCACCAGAGCCATGATGACGATCGTGCGCCCAATAGCCTTCGTACACTTCCCCGTTTTCCAAGCGTTCGATGCCGTAGCCGTGTCGTTTGCCATCTTTCCACTCACCTACGTACTCTCCACGGACAAATGCCATTTTGAGGTGTAGTATACCCAGTCCGTGGAAGCGGCCACGCTGAACTGCTCCTTCGTAGATGTGAGTTGCAGGACACGACGTCACGCGAAAATTTGAACCGCAGGCAGTGAACGGAGAGAAGAAGTTATCAACATTTTCGCCTTCCCATATGGTGCCGTCACGGCATGTAAACTTTCCCCAGTGATTTTTTCTCGGTTTGCATGTTTTACGGGGTAAATTGGCTTCAGAACATGTGTGAGTTATGTCTCTCTTCAAGCCACTAAAAGTGGCATCTTCGACCCACGGTCCCTCGTACATAGAGCCATCATTATACTCAATAACCACGTGGCCTTGAATCCAGCCATCCTGAAATGAACATTCCAAACGAACATACATTTGGGGAAGCTCACAAAGCTTACTCTTCTTTACTGATTGCATTTCTCGTTGACCTTTGGACAATGCTACTATTTTGCTAGTTTCCTCAACCACAGGGGCGTCTAGCTTTATCAAAGCTTTCGATCCTGCAGTTGTTTGAGTAAGCGATGGCGTGTTTAAAGACATAGCTTTCCCAACGTCCTGCTGCCTTTGTTCAAGGTCAAAATCCGAAGCGTCTGCCGCTATACCGGACAGAAATCGACCGTGCAGCATCAAGTCATGATTTGAAATCTGTAGTGACTGCAACGGCGTCTTTAACTCGTGATTAATCGCACTAGCTTCACGAGTGGTCTTCGCGCTTACCCTGTCCAGCTCTGCTCGTTTCACAGCACTTTGAGTCACCGCACTTTTTTCAACAAGCTCACGATGGTGCAAGATGTGCGCCTGTTCTCGGCGCAGTTTCTCCAAGAAAAAGGTCTCATTGCCCTCATCGCGTTGCTGTCGTAACATTTGTTGCTCTGCTACGTGCATCAATTGCAAGCGCTTCAGTCCTTCTTGCATACTCTCGAGTTGTTTCTTTCGGTCTTTTGCCCTAGCAGTCCATGCATTCAGCTCCTCCACTTCGTTGTCCATACGTTCTAACAGTTTGCGCAAATCTTTTTGAAACTGGTCTAGCAGAACACGATGTTGTTCAAAAATGTTGGATCCTTGCCTGTGAGCTTCTTGTATGAGTGCATATACTCGCTGTGTCCGGATAAGCTGATGAGTGAATGCTACGAAAGCTTTTTCAATCGACCCTAAACGCTGAAGTTCATTCTCCAATATCGTAATACGCTCGTTAGACGACGAGATCAGCGTCATCAGCTTTTCTTGAACCTGCGCTAACGACATCTCCGCCTTCTTTCGCTCCCGTTTAAGCGACTGCTTCTGCCATTCTTCACTATCACTTGCCTTTATGCGTTTCACTTTATGCGTAATATATTCTTGTAATTCATTTTCTTCGTGACGCAATACCTCCAACTGCGCATTTGTCTCGTGTTGAAAAGCTTCAAGATCCTGTTTGAGCAATTGAATTGCTGTCAGAACAGCATTGCGTTGGGCTACATTCACCTCGGGGGACTTAAAGTCGACACCAAAAAGAGGTGACGGTGTCTCCACTCGAATTTCACGTTCACGGCGCTTCAACAATTCAAACTTGGCTAGATTCTTTTCTTGGACATGTCGACCACGAGCCAACCACGTGCGCACGGCATCTTTAACACTGTCTTCCACGTAAACTTCTTCCTCCACCTGTGATTGCTCTCTTTCCACACTTACGTATTCGTCTCGTGGCAAAGCATAAGACATGTGACGAGAAACTGAAGCACGTCCTGGTACAGTATGTCGTTTAGGTTTAAAGAAACAGTACTGTCTTGAGAGCTGAAAAATTTCAACACAGTATGAGTTTGATTTCTCTTCAGTCTTGAGATGATTTACAGTAGAATTCCAGAGATGATAACGAAGAGCTTGCTCTGAAGCACAGACGTGGGCACAAAGGCGAAAGGGACAGATGAAAGGAATCGCATGGGTCCGGCAAATGTGCTCTCCAACTTCATCAATCGAGCCAAATCCCGTTATCTGACACACCGTGCACTTCAATTGAGCTCCAAATTTCTGAGATGCAATATCTTCGCCACCCATGTCAGACAACTCTCTTTCAATTAATGGTGTTGTGTCAAAAGGGGGTCGCAGTAGTTGCACTGCAGTCAAGTAACTTACTTCTGTCAGCTGTTTAGGCATTTTCGTGTACAGACTGGCACAACCGACGCCCTGAGTATTCTGTGCTGCGACGCGTATGCGCATAGATTGTTCATACTGCGGAAGAATTGGCCATAGTGTTGTTGTCGTTGGTGCTTTCGGGTAATGCTTATTTGAGTATCTGGATGCTTTGATGTGATCTGTCTGTTCTAAGGTATCTGCGATTCGCTGGCAAATGATTGGGCTGTTACTGTCAGACACAATTGCTTTGCCTTCAGAAGCTTGGTCGCCACTTTCGTCTTTCCACTCGACTACATACTGAAAAATCGGCGCACCATTGTCCAATGGAGCTTCCCAAGCTACATCAACGGCTTTACCTGCCCTCCATTTTCGAAACAATTTGGCATGTATCCCTTCTTTCCGTTGAGCAGCGACATTGGGCTCGGAAAAGGTTGCCTCTACCAGTTTGATGATCTCGCGCTTGCCGTCCTCTACGTAAAGCACGTCCGCGGTGCATGTATCGTATGGGTCCACCGCTTCCACGCGTGCTTCGTACCAATTTTCGTCGTCCAGTTCCACTTCTATATAACAACCAGCACTCAAAAATTCCAAAGGAGTTTTTTGTGTGGCCCGAATCTGTACGTCGACTACGGCTTCTGGTTTCTGCTGCTGCAGTATGTGAAGTGCACGACCTAGGGTTATTAGTTCTGCCTGCTCTCTTCTAGCTTGTGCCTTTCCACGAGCTTCTTCTTGTAAAAGTCGATCTTCTTCCTTAATTCGCCAAGCAATTTCTCTTTCGTACCGAGCAAACAAAGCAGTTGCGGTCTCTTCAAGTTTACTAAGCGTCTGGTGTCGCTTCGCATATCCACGAGGGCCTTCACGTGAGCGCTTACTATTCCAAATACCTTGGCGTTCCAATATCTGGGCTTCTTGGATTTCTTCTCGCTCTTGGGCTTTGAGCCCCTTGACAATTTGCAAACTTTTAAATCGAGCTTCAACCGAATTACGCTCAAGCCAATTCCAGTTGGTGGCTTTTTCAGCAGTTGCAGCTAGTGGAGCGCCCTCGACTATCTTCCCAGATTGCGCTTCACCAGTCAGGAAATGCGCTACACCCCAGCCATGTGGGACGCTGGCTCTATGAAACTTTTGCGGTGTATCATCGTCATGTTCGTCAGTGCTCCAAACAGGAACCCGACGCATTTGAAAGACGCCGTGGACAAGTGCCCACCCTTCCCCGGGACAAAATGAGCAATTTGCGAGCTGAGGAAAGAAATATTCTTTGGCTATCGTGTGTTTCTCTTCGAAAGTTTTCGCGAACTCCGCATTGCGCATTAAAGCATCAAGTTTTGCGTGTCCGCGATTCGCTTGTCGCTTGGCAATTTTCACTGTTTTAGATTGTTGAACCCAACGCAAGGGTTGAAGCAACAGGTGATCAATAAAACGAGTGATCGGCTTTGTTAAAGGTACAGGCCCGTTCTTTTTGTCCATCACTTGATCTTTATCTCCCACAAGTAAAAGCTTCGTGAGGAGTTGTTCTACTTCACGACGTCGGCCAATGAATCGCTGTACACGATTTATCACTTTCTGAATGCCCGGAGGTTCGTCTGGTAGCCCAAGCGGCACATCCTTGGGGCTGACGAGTTGAAGCATCACAAGCATTCGAGCAACACGAGTGTTCGCACAGCGAAAAGTTTGTAGTACGTAAAGCAGACTTCGTTGCCGCCTCGCAGCATTCACTCCTTGAAACTCCAATTCTCGCTGGTATTGCAAGCGAGCAATGTAAACGCGTGCCATGCACTGGATGACGCGAGCGGCGCTGAAGCGTTTAGATTCGTGTGCGATGGATGCAGCATACGAGGTAAGCTGTTGCCGCCATATTGCACTGATTTTGCCGTCTGAGCCCCCGAGGTTAAGCGCATACGCAGCAGAAAATGACAGCTCCGGTACACGATGTAATACGCGCTTTGCAGGCTCAAATTTAGTTGCTGGAATCAACAATGGCATAAACTCTAACTCACCATCTAAATCCATTTTAACCTGCGCCACATTGTCGATACTATTTAAGACGAATGCCGTCTCACCACAGCGCGGGTGACCAGGTAGAATAACTCTTACAGCGCTGCCCCGATCCACATGCTCTTGAAGGCGTCGCCTGTCATCAGCAGTGGTAGCTAATAATTGCTCAAACTCGCCGAGAAATCTTCGTGCCGTCTGTGACTTGCGTGTCAAGTTGAATGCCTCGTGACGAAGCTTCTCTGTATTCCCAGACTTTCCATTCTCCAGCTCTTTGTTGTTTGTTGCCGTAGCGTTCACTTTCTCTTTGACAACATGAAAGAAAGCTCGTAAATCATCGAAATCTTGGCGAACTTCACGGAATACGGATCGAACGTCAGTGAGAAATGTGGCCGGATCCAAGCCAAAGAAAGAGAGAAAACTGCGTAGAGCTCGCTGCGTCGGGCGGTTCGAAGCCCCGAGAAATCGCAGCATTTTTCCTTCAATAGTTCGTCGTGTCAACACTTCCATGCGAGTTATGTAGCTCCGTCGAAGAGCAGCCGTGCGTCTACGTGCAATACGACCTCGATACATGGCTTGCAAACGTAAGGCACAACGAAGCTGTACCAGCACCTCTTGCTGCGACGTAAACCAGCAGCGTACCAGGTACCCACGGATATGGCGTTGGATTGCTATGGCAGCCAGGTGTTTGACGCGCCCTAAACGCTCACGTTCGACTAGTCTGTATCTTGCTTCGACACGAACACGCTCCTGCTCTTCTGCTTTTTGCCGTTGCACAAGTATATACTTTGCCCGTCGCATCTCTTCGTAAAATTGTCTGGCAGCTACCCCACGCCACCGACGCTGTAGTACGACAATCATACGCAAATGACGATCCACCTGTCGCATCTCGACTTCCTCTGTTGCCATAAATTCCATCTCCCGTTCTGCCCGTAGATACTCTCGTAGTCGCGCTTTTCGAGTTGCTGCAAGAAACAGAGCTCGGCCCAACTTTCCACGCCATGCGTTCTGAATCAACACAGACGCCCAGACCATATATAAGTAGTGGTTTTCTACATGTCGTCTAGTAAAGACACCTCGCCAATACGCTTGCAGTCTCGTTGCCATTCGACGTGCATGCTGCAATTTACGGATTTGATAGACCCAGACTGTGAAGGAATAAGTCAGCTTTGCGTTTGCCAGCATGATTCGCACACGCTGTTTACAGTGTTTGGCATATGCTGTCTGGGCTGCCCACGACCTCAAAACACGGACTTGTGTACCATTTATAAAAAGTGATATGGCTCGGCGCTTTCGGTTGCGCAGCGCAATTTGTTTTTGAGTGTTATCGTACCACGTATACACAGCTCTCATGAAGTCTAGAATGCGGACTCGTGCGGCTACACGCCCAGAGATAAGTCGGAGCGTCGCTCGATGCTCATGACAATGACGCCAACGTAACCAGCATTTAGACTGAATACTGCCAGAAAATCTTGCTAAAGCTCGGCGCTTTGCTCGCTGGGCCTTTACAAAGTTCAGCCACGCATTCCAAACGAGCAACTTGTCCTGATGCCACACTTTTCCAGCTAGCCAGCGATATTTTTCTTGCAGCTGGCGCTCACGATGCGCATTATGAAGCCACTGACGGAATGCCCAGCGAGTCAAGCTCTTTTAAATGAAGACAAAACAATTAAGAGAATGATACATCAAAGCAGTAGACATGAGTCTTACTCTACAGACGATGGACGCCTTTGCTTCGACCAGAAATCGCGTTTGTTTTTTAACAAATTTGAGCCAAATTCGCCATATCATTCTAATCAAAGCCTTATTTGCTCGAGTCTAAGGTGTAACAAGGGTAAGTATAAGATATTTGGCAGAAATTACTAAGACATACTCTGCCTTCCAATTGCCGAGTCGAGTTGTGGGCTTCAAGATGAAGAGTGTTCAAAAATATTCCAGACATCAATAATCTACGCTTCTTCGACTGCCTTGTTAATGTATACCAGGTCTGAATGATGCGTGGCAGTAAACGGCGTTTTTCGAAAACGAACACTTTTTCAACATCATGTCGTTTGCGTTGTACGAGCTTACGCCAAGCCTTGAAATTCAATGGTAGTTTTCGCTGAGCTAAGAATTTATAAGCCTTTGCAACATTCAATCTGGCGACACGATGCATTTGTCTGTGTTGTGTCTCCGAATGCAGCAATTTCCACGCTGTAAATACCTTGAGTTCGGACCGATTTACCCAGTATTTGTGTGCCATGCGCACTTGTCGATCATACAGTCGCTTTCGCCAACGGTACTGCATTGGAATGACAACATTGAGAAGCTGTTGTAGGGTAATATGATAAGATAGTCGACATCGATATCCACGAAATAGGCGCTGGATGTCTAACGCAGCGCAAAATTGTTTCCACTCGCGCTCTTTAAGCTCAATTTGGCGCTCACAAGCTCGGATTCGGGCTCGAAAACGAGCTTGAAGGAGTATAGCTAGTTTGACACATTTAGTAGAATAATCTATCAATCTTTCCCTTTTTTGAGCTTTTATTGCTGCGTCCGGATTCGAAGCTGATATTCCCTTAAACTTTGCTTCATGTTTGGAAATGACTTCAAGCCCATACACATTTTCACGACATTTAAGGAGCTTCTCGAGATCTGTGACTTGAATCAATGGGCAACGAAACACGTTTAAATAACGTAGAAAGAGGCACTTCGTCCATATGTGTTCAAGTCCAGCAGAATCAATACCTTCACTTTGGGAAAGATCCAGCACCTCGAGGAACTTCAATTGACTACTGAGTGTACGACAACACGCTTCGTTAAGCTTATCTCGTGGTTGATACTGAAGATCGAGTTGCTTGAGGTTTACAGGAAGACTACGTAGCCCGCGGCTCGAAAAACCTGTACAACCGGAGAGAAACAGTTTTTCTAACGATTGCATAACCAACATGGGGTAAAGTGCGAGATCATCGACATTGACACAATCTCGGAGGTCAAGTACTCGTAAGACTTTATTGTGACCTGCCAGATTTGTTAGCAAGGCTCTTGATACTTGCTCCTGCCCAGCAAGTCGCAGCTTGATTAAGTTCGGGGCAGACTTTACAAGTCTGACGAGAACCGAAGCAGGAATTGTACCAACTTTGGAGAGATCAAGTGCTGTCAAAGTTCGTGAGCATGTGTTGATCACTGCGAGTAGCGCCATTTCTCCAATACTGGAATTGTTAGACAACGTTAGACACTTTAACAGCTTGAAGTTCTTTGAGGCAGAAAAGTCTAACGATCTGCTAGTGTATGCATTGATGCCATTAGTACGAAAAAAAGCATCAAAGCCAGAATCTGTGAAGCCCACACAACCCGATAGATCGAGTCTTTCTAGTTTCAATAGTCCGGCAAAAGCAAGTAAACCCTTGTCAGTCAGTTTTAAACAACTTGAAGCGTTAAGACTTTGAAGGAATGGACACGACGTTGCGATCCATGAACAACTCAAATTTGTCAACAAGTTGCACCCTGAAATGTCAAGCTTGGTCAGCTTAAGATATTTGCTGACCTCACGATAACCCACAATATTAAAGCAAAGACATTCAAACGCATCATCCGTGATATTGACACAATAGCTAACATTCAGTTCTTCCAATCGTCGAGGTTTTCTACTGAACAATTCCTTGATACTAGCGTCAGTGACTCTCTGACAGTGGCGAATCGAAAAAATCCTTAGTTTTTCTCCCCGTGACTTCATCAATGGTATCACTGCTGTGTCCGAGATAGACCGACAGTAATCAAGACGTAGTCTTTCCAGAAGTCTGACTTTTTTAACCAACTGCATAACACCCAAGTCGGTCACGTGTTCGCACTTTTCAAGATTCAGGCTAGATAATTGCGTAAAGGCCCCACCAACTACTCCAAGAATGCTGTCCGTGACAAAATCACTTCCACATAACGACAAGTCATTCAGCAAGTCACATTGTCGAGCAATAGCTTGAAAAGCTGCTTTCTACAAAATCACACAGCTGCATTGCGTAAAATGTAGCCCATCGCAATGTCAATGGCTTGCATACTTACAGGTATGTTCTTAAATTTATCCAAGACGAGACGTCGCAGTTTTGAGCAATTATTAAGCAGCAGTGTAAAGTCTGCTTAAGCGTAAAATGGTCAAGGCTCAACAGGAAAATGCTGTTCAATCACTTACCTTGTGCCCGTGTGAGTGATTCAAGACCATCCAAATCCAATTCCTTGCATCTTCGAGAGAGTTTAAACGCCATTTCTTGGAAAACTGGACCGTCCTGTATGCACAACGAAGTCCAGCTGCTTAGATCAACTTTCTCAAGAGGTTTAAACGAGTTCTGCTCGTAGAACAGCTGATCCGGAAGGTAAGCGTTATCATTGGCAATCGCAAGACTATGAGCTAGTTGAGACACTTGCTGCTTAGATGGCAAAGGCGTATAGTCTTCACAATGAGTCTTCCTGTCGAGCAAAAGGTACTAATTATGAATTTACTGGAGAAATGGTACTAAATCACTGCGATTATACCCCTTGCAATCTGTCAACAGCTGCTCTATAATAGCTCTGCCTTTATCTGTAGAACTCCGTATCCGCGGCAACGCAACAATATCTCGAGTCTGTGTGTTCTTGATCATGCTGTCCATACGAAGCGCATAGTTCCGTGAAAAGTGGTGATGGGACGATCGTGGACGCTTTAAGAGTCGCGTTCTTTTGTCTGGAAACATATGCAAAATGTCGTTCGGGACACAAATTGCAGCCTCTGCACTAGCCAATACAGAGTTTTCACTTGGATCTTGAAGCCATGATTCACTTTGCGATGATTGATTGCCTCGCAAAGGTAAACTACTTGTGGTTTGAGCGGAATCCCAGTGATATGCGACATCATTGACGTCGACGTTCTCCACTTTGGAGCTCAAAGTCCTACTTGAGAGTTGTCGTGGGACTTGTGCGTCAGAAAATGCGTGAGTTTTCTGCTTGATTGGGCGATCATTGAGCACATGCAAGTCAAGGGCGTGGCGTTTGACCATATTAGTTTGTTGGAGCAGCAATTTTAAGTGTCTCTTCGTCACTCACAATGATACTTTCATTCATTTTTAGAAGACAGATAGATACACATCAAAAAAGCTGTTATTTCTGACTAATCTCATCGTTTCGAATGCAACCAAGACTTGCGCCATAGCCATCAAAAGCTGAATTTTATCCGTAATCTTGAGACTTATGGAATTTACAGCAATGAAATTAGGAATAATGCTCTCCCCTTGCACCACAGCCGCGGCTTTTGCAACTTAATCTCTTCTCCATCGACTACTGAAGGATCGGTTGTTCTCTATGTCGTGGAGGGTTGGGAGTGCGGGTCGGTCCCGTGTAGATTTGAAGTCGTTCTGATTTCTCCTCCACTTCGCAAAATACTCGTTCGGCTCTGCTCTCGCAAGTTATTTTCAAATGACGTACTGCTTTACGGCAGCTCCAATAGTTAAGTAAGGCTCGAAATTCTCTAGCAATCAGTTGGTCACGACGGAGGGCGTACGTCCCATTAGATTCCTCAAGATACTTTTGCATCACTAAAAACACACGCTCAACCGTATCGCACCACACCGTTTTAACATATTGTCCCAATAGTCGTAATAGCTCCTGCATCTCGTGCTTTGAGCGCAGCGGTAGGAACAACGCGAACTTGGTAGCATGGTCGAATTTATTCCATAGTTCAGCATCTTGCTCCAGCTCACAAACGAATTCTCGGAGCGTCTGAACCGCTCTGTAGCGTCTACCAGATTTACCTTGAGTGCTGACAGAGAATAGCGCATCGGTAATTGATGCGAGTTGCGCTCGCAAAGAAGAAATCTTATCCTTCAAGTCCTTTTTGCGATGTTCACAGGACATTAAGTCGATGTCTTGGCGACTAACGTCAAGTCGCTTTAAAGAAGCCGCTGGCCATTGCCCTGCAAATTTTAGCAGCTCCTCCCGGTATCTTTTGACGTCGCCCCGACAGAGGACAAGACATGAACTGGCCATCAGGACCACCCACTTTGCAAACTCATTCTTATCAGAAAATTCTAGACAATAGGAACGTTTCATGACGTGTAACTTTTTGACTGACGAAAAAGATGTCATTTCGACGGATGGCTTGGGACACGATGACTAACTGCCATGTGATTTATTCATGACACAATTCGACTCAATTAATTCAATTACTTTCAGTGTCCAATTTTTAACTGGAAAAGTTGGGAGCAAATATGGCAACTGCAGTTTCGAAAACCGTTAATCAGTTGAAGCTAAGCAACAACAAGCAAATGCCTAAATCGACGACCTCAAAATATGAAGTCGTTGCTGAAAGTCGAGATCCTGCAAAATCACCGAAAATGCTGACAATCATCGCCAAAGAGTCTGATTTACAAACTTTTCTCAAAACCAATAATAATTCATTTGCTCTTCCAGGAGTGGCAAATATTGGTATTCACTTTCAATTTTCGCCACCATCTCGTTCAGATGCGAACCAGCTGCCATTGGAACAAGTAGTAGCAATTGTTATTTCTGGTGAGGTACCCAATGATGCTGCAGTGGTGCTCCTGTTAGCGTCACTTTCGAAGACTCGAGTTCTTACAGGGCTCATTGCATTGCTTAGTGATCCATTGATTTCAAAGGTGATGCACAATATCCACCAGACTGCGTTCTGGCTTCAATGCTACGGGTTGAAAAACCCCAAAATCGTTAATTGCATCGACTTGCAGCTTTTGTACGAAAGTACAGTGAATTCAACAGTGCTGAACGCGGATATGCTTCAGATTGCAACTGCTTGCTCTCAAGAAATAGCGTCAGAATTAAATTACAGCACACACTCATTTCAAGCGCGAACCAGGATGTCCGAGAAGCTGCAACGCTCAATGGCCTATTCCGCAAAGCTTTACGCTAGTTGCTATTCAAAAATTAAGCGCAAGTTTAAAACAAAAACAATGTTTGCCGAAATGACAAAAACTCGGTGGGAGATGGCTATTATCAACCAAGGCAAGGCTGCAATTTGGTTTGATTCCGATGCTGATTACCAGCCGCGGAGTCTCGAATTCCTTGTTTGCAAGGATGACGCGTCGGCAATTGAGCTTCCCAAACTACAACTTCAGTGCGAAATCGATTCGCTGCTTTGTCTTCTTCCATCTTCGTATCGCGACGCAATTTGTGCGGTTAAAAACTACCGCTTTCGACTTGTTGACATTTGTATCGATGTTGGTCGGGCTCCATTTACCTACATGGGTAAGCGGCAGCGTGTTCTGCTCGATAAAGAAGAAAATGTTGTCTCAAAAGAGACTATTGATGAGATCATCGAAAAAATAGGAGGTGAAACGCGCATTGGAGGCGACAATCGAGTAGGCATCGATGGCCAACTCCATCGTATTTCTGTCATGAGAAGCAAAACTAACGAAGTTTACGCCTTAACGATGCGTACAGGTCGAGCACTGCAAAATGCTGCATGTGTGCTGACAGATCTTCTATTGAGTGATAAACATGCAAAAAAGTCTGTGCTTATCTTGGGTCACCCTGGAAGTGGGAAGACAACACTTATTCGAGACGTGGCACGGTGCGTTTCAGAAACTATGGAAAACGTATGTATCATCGACACTTCGAACGAGATTGGAGGCGACGGCCTAATTCCGCATAAATGTGTTGGGTGGGCTCGTCGCATGATGGTTCGATCTTTGGAAGCCCAAGCTGGGGTTATGGTGGAGTGCGTTCAAAATCACACGGTTGAAACGTTAATTGTGGACGAAATTGGTCGAAAGGCGGAGGTGCTTGCAGCATCAACCGTGCGTCAGCGCGGTCCGCGACTGATTGCAAGCGCACATGGTGACTTTCGCGCGTTGATTAAGAATTCAGCATTAAACGGTTTGATCGGCGGTTCACAACAGGTTACCTTGGGTGATAAAGAGGCAAGGAATTCAAATAAGCAAAAGCTACAAACTCAGCGCGCTGGTACTCCAATATTCGATGTGATCGTGGAGCTAGATAATGTTGACCGCGGTCGGTGTCGAATCATATGGGACGTCGCAAATGCTGTAGACCGTGTGCTCGAGGGTGATGACTATGCCGTCGAGACACGTCGGTGGGAAATTAGTACACGAGGCGTTCAAGTGCTTAGAAAGTAGCGAATTTTATCACGATGTTTACTTGCAAAAATCTCATCTTCACCAAATTATATAAATATTAACTTTTTTACTGTTATATCTAGACCGATTTCTCTGTTAAATCGTACGCAAATTGGTATGATAATCTGTCTTGACATTTGCTACTGTTCGACAAGGATCGAGCTAATTACGCAAGTTGCAGGCGTATCGGAGCATCTTGCGACTGATAGTTGAAACCTGAATAGAGGGTATCTAGAGAGCACCAGAGTCAGAGAGAGTGCATGGCTTTTCATTCAAGCAAAGGGAAATCGAGACCATGATATAGACTCAGAACCCACGCGAGAGGTGGAGGTCGACAACATGATTGCGCAACGAAGCAAATAACTTCAGAAATAAGAGCAGCAGACAAAGCATGACGTGATACAACTGCAGATAATCGGGATATCATGCTGCTTAGTGAACGCAGCCAAGGCGACTTTGAGAAATTTGGGAACCAAATTGACCACAAATGCGAGAGCCAATGGAGCAGATCAACATTGTTAAGAAGAATCAACAAAAACAAAAACAGCAGAATTAACCATATTGGAGTATTTAGGATACGCAGGCCTCTTCAAATTAGTCAATCTATTTATAGATAACCAATTTAACTAATTTCATT